CGGTGTTAAACCGAGAGACTGTTCGACTGAGAAGCTGTGCTAGCCGGTTCTTTTGTCTGCGTGCGATGCTGTCCTAGTTTGGGGACGTTAGACCATTCGTCCAGGAGACTATCTGTAGGCATCGAGGATTTGAAGGAACGTCCTTTAAAAATGGTAAGCGTGGGTGACGTGGCTGGAACATCGCTACTCACAATGACTCAATTGTATCAGTGTAGCTCATCTTCGATTCAACCGATAACGGTGGTAAGATGAGATGGAAAATAATTTATGGAGGGCTAACGTTACCTACGTTACTTTGTACGTCAGAGAGCAAATGAATGCTGCTGATAATATATGGAGTATTATGTCCCAAAACCATGATATGATTATGAGGGACGCTGTCGTGGAGGACTCCAGAAATTTTGATCATCTGGTGTTCTTTAACATTCCCTGACATTGCACAGTACAAGGGACTCTACCATGTCGCCTCTATTGAAATGTGATCTCTGCTACCGCGGCCAAATTGGTGACGTTGGGGTAAACAGGGGTGGCACTGGAGCCACTGATCATATGAGGTGGACAATGTGAATGCAGCTAATGTCCTCGTTGAATTGCGTAGTGCGGGTCGGTGATAGCCATTAGTTGACCAACACCAGCGTACAGTGACGCTTCGAAAAATTTTAAACAAACTATTCTTTTTTGTTTCTTGTCTTGGATAGCAAATTCTAGATGATAGATGTGATATTTTCTTTCATATATAAGTCAGCATCAAAACTACATTTCTAGTAATTACGTCAGTGAATATTCTATGACAATAATTTTATTAAGGCATATTAGAAACACATCAAAGTTGGCGTTGTTTCCCACGTGTCAAGTCATCTTGAGGCGCTGCAGGGCGTCGATGGGAGCGAATCACGCTTAGGAACTCCAGATAATAGGGTTACATCATTAAAATACTGCAGTTATATGACTTATTACAGGCCTCTCTGAACGCTTAGCCGTTCCCACGAGAAGGCCAGTTTTTTTTTTTTAATGAAAGAATACTTTTTCCTGTAGGTTTTCTTACGCAGGAGTGTCACATAGGACAATGCTCGGAGACGTAATTTCTTCCACCCGTTTTTAGCTCACTGCGACATCATGCCTATGCGCGTTGCGTTCCCGGCTAGAGTATTGTATACCCTATACAGTAATCCTAGTCGCAGCCAATTGCGTTCTTTACCGGGATAGAACACGTCATCACTTCGCGCTTACCACCGGTCACCTACTTAGAGAGCTTCACTATGCTATTGCTACACCTTGCAAAAAAACTAACTTTACGTTTCAGCGTGTTTTGTTTTATACAGATTCATAGTTCTGGTACAAATGATGACTAAGAATATCTGAGTAGAAATCAAAGAAAGAAATGGGCATGGACAAGACATGCAGTGTGAAGCCAAAATAACTGATGGGCATTAAGAGTAACAAACTGGATTCCCAGAAAGGCAATTGCGCTCAAGGGGAAGACAGAAAGTTATGGGTTAGCATATGCGATTTAAAAAATTCGTGGATATGACATCGCCACCGTAGCAAGCACAGGACCATGTTAAATGCATAAACGAGGTCTTTGACCCGGAGTAAGGCGTAGCCTGGCTGATTATGGTGATGAGTTTGTTTTCTTGGTCAGTCGGGTCCCTTTATTATCAGTTTGTCTTCCAGGCGTTTCTGGTGTTCGGGCTTTCTGCCAGGCCGAAGGGTTCATGGGAGAGTTCGTACGATCATGGGAGAGCTCGTACGATCTATTGTTGTTCCAGAGGGTGGTTTCTCTTACCACGAGCCTCCGCTTAATAATGTCTTCACCTACAAAATATTCCAGGAAGTTCTTAGTACTGTCACAACTGGGGAGCGTCAGCTGTTGTCTTGTCCAACACTCAAATAAGTTACAGTATACGCCAGAAAGATAGGGGCAACTAGCTGGATTTTAAGAGAAGGCAGACGCACGAAGGTGGGACAGAAACTTAGGTGGGCAGATGAGATTAAGAAGTTTGCGGAACACGAAAGAAGCCTTTGCCCTGCAGTGGGCATAGTCAGGCTGATGATGATGGGCTCTAAAATAATATGAATGCAGGATGGGGCCACGTTTCAATGTGCGAATGCTAGCTCAGTCAATTCTTTAAACGCAAATGCGCATGTGCCGTTAGATAGTTAATTAAAACAAAGAGATATCAAGAACATTGCATTCAGTCTCCGAATGTGCCGCATTTTCAGTTTCGATGATCAAATTCGCCTTACTGCTATGAACCAACTAGTTCGGTTGCATACTATTTTGAAGAAACTCGAAGCCCGATGTGGCAAAGATATCTCTGAATGCACTTCGACTAAGCAGTATACATGCAGTGGCGGATACAGAGGGGGTGAGGGGTGGTGGGAGGGATGCGGTAGGGGCTATCCACTCCCCCCTTCCAAAGTCCGTGTTAGTACCCCCTCTTTTAATTTGGTGCTCGTAGTCGACCGGCTATTACCAATCATTGCAAATGAGTGAAGCCACCGTGATCAAAGATTAACAGTATTAATGCTACGAATGGGTTTAATCTCTTCGTAAAAACAAAGAGAAAGGTCATCACCACGCTCCTCTCTCAGGGAATACAATACTTCAGGTGATTGCACCTCCCTAAAATGAGTGGTTGTGTCCGCTCTTGCCTACATGCCACGGGACTCCGCCAGTACTGTTGCTGAAGTCGTCATCACTGAAAATTTGAAGTTAGTAATGCATTACATGAACTGATTTGTGTTTGAAAGCTTTCCTCCGCGTGTGCGCGTGAATCAACTTTTCTCTCTCTCTAAACATAACAAAATCTTAGGTAATCGTGCACAATAGTTATGATTATCTCTTAACCATTTCATTTTGTATCCCTCTTTGTTGCGTGAAAATTGATAACTTTGTAAACACCCGGTTTCCATTAACTATTCAACGTCATTTTCTATAAGTCGGAGGTAAAACACAGAGGGGAAAAAAAAGCCTTAAGGAATGAGTTTCGTCAATATTCCTTTTTTTTCTGTCTTTCTTTTCAAGCGCAGTGTCATCAGTTTGAGCTTCGTAAATAGAACTTTGCGCGCGTATACCGTTATCCCCGCTTTCCAACCCGGACGCACTCTAGGAAACGAGAACGAACCGACCCACTTGTACGCTGTATGCTTATTGAGCATTCCGTTGCATTCAGAACTAAAATGCGATTGTACGAGTCGGATCCAGAAAAAAAAAAGAATAAATAGGCAATGCTTGTCACTGCGCAGAAAGCACACGCACATCCTCAATAAGCATCACGTGACATGCGCGCCATTCATACGAGGGCAAAAAGAAATATCAAAATAAAGAACAAGGGAGTGAAGTCGTTAACCTGTGACGTACAGGAGCTCATCGGGTCGGTATGCATGTGCGTCTCCGCAATGCGCTCTCGGGGAGCTGCAGTGCACCGCCCAAGGCGTACGCGCACGCACTCAGCTGTTGCACTTTACGGGGCAATGGCGACGCCCACTGCAAGGCCATGTCGTCGGCAGCGCTATACTGTGCCACCAGGATCTCTTTTTGTCACGAGCCAAAGCGCAATCTGGTCACGCGGACAATGGCAGCCCCTCACCATTTCCACTCCGCTGCTTTCGGGCGTAACCCTCGCTCATCGCCGGCGACTGCAGCGCCGCGCCGCGGCGGCTAACGGAAAGAGAGAGAGTCCGGGGTCGTGTCGTGCGGCCTCTGGTGCACATGCGGGCCATACACGAGTCGAGACAAAGGAATTATCGCCGCGGTCGGCCTTGCTTCGCTAGGGTCATTGTAGGGCACAGTTAGACCAGCGAGAGATTTACTCTACAGCGCAGGAGCCTGGCTGGGCGCCATTGTTCTCGCGTACGCTGGCCCTTTGAAGCATGCGCTCGTTGGGTACATTTCTGTATCGTACCTGTCGTTTTATACGCGGCGCAGCTGGCCACGTGAGGGGCTATTCTGTCGCATAACGATGGATGCAGACTTCTTCCAATTTATCACGATTAGAAATGCGATTAAACAAGTGAGTGATACCCCTGTGGGCTCCAGTGAAAAATATTTGTGCTGTGATGGGGTTCTCGTGATTATAGTTACTACTAAAACAAAACAGTGATGACCACCTTCCCTCCCGCTTTAATTCAAGCGACCCCCCTCTAACATGAGCGGCTGGATCCGCCCCAGGCCTCCACCACTGCCACAGCCAGCTATGATCGTATTATAAATGACAACTCAAACCGCTTCAATTTACGCACAACGTAGACGTTGCAGCCCACATATGATACCCACCAAGCGTACTCTGTATTGAAAAACACAAAAAGATTATGAAAAAAAAAACAGATGAGCACAAAGGTTTGACGTGAATTTTATGAATACATCACTGAGGTCTTTTAGGTCTGTAAATGCAGTTTACAATTGGCTGGCCACCATTGCTAATATTTACGAAAACACGATTTACTGGTTCCTGATTTTACGGCAATTGTTGCGTCAGAACATTTCTGCGAATACGGGTCATCGCAAATACCTTCGTGCGAAGCTCTAGCAAAAACCTTGGGCCGAATCCGCGAAGCCTTTGTTCGTAAAAGCTCTTTCTTTTGGTTGGCGGCCTTCTTTAAGAAAATGTGTGGTGCCACTGCGGCATTATTATTATTATTATTATTATTATTATTATTATTATTATTATTATTATTATTATTATTATTATTAGGAACATTTCTAAGTGAGACTTCGATCACTACGTTCTAGAAGGGCGTCCCATAAAAGCTGACGTTTTAGTTTTTAGTGCAACAAGAGTGTACAATAGACATTCAACCATACTTCTCACAGGGACGGATAAAATAGGGAACTTTGCACCCATACAAGCAGTGAAAGATGCATTTAACTTCTTTATAGGTTTCAAAAGAGTCAAGTAATCTTTAAGGAGTAACTTGGTCCCATTACTCACTCGGCACTTTTTCAATTTCCTCAGTATGTTTGCTAAAGTATGTTTTAAACACCGGATGGGGCCACCATGCAATCAGCCACTCTAAACTGGCTGGTCAACCATCCGCTCAAAGAAAGCAAAGTTCTCGAGCATTGCCCTGCACAGACCATAGATCAAGCCGCAGTGAGTGCGTAAGGAATTTAAGGACACGCTGTCACTGTGCATGGGATCGTGTTTTCTTACCGTTGTGTGTTAGCCGTGCGTACATTTGTGTAGTCACTTTCTGGCGCCTTTTTGGACTCGTCACCTATTTCATTATTTCATACCTTTTTTTTTTTACTCTTTTCAAGCACGAGGTTGCCAACTAAAGATGTCCTCCGGTAAACCTCCGTCTCTTAACTCCATTTATAATCCGTCTTCTTACGCTGTCCCTTTACTCCGTTTATTTTCTCTGCGCTTCACCCAATGCAGCATAGCTAACCAGATCGTATAACCTCGTTAACCTTCTTAACATCTTGACTTCGAAAAAAAAAAAAGAACAGGACAGTGAAAGGAACCACAACGTGTAACCCATGGCACTTTTTAATTAATTACTCTTCGACCTCGTTGCCACATCTCTCTCGCAGACGCTGGTACGCAGTCGTGGTTGGCTGCCTCTTATAGCCGCCCTCGCCCTTGCACTCGAGGCGGTCTTCGTGCAAGCTGGCAGTGGGGCGAGCGATGCCTCCTCGGTCAGGTCTTCGGTTAGGTCTTCTACCGCAAGCAGCAGAGAGGGCCTTGATGGAACGACGGGACACCCTCGGGGCTACTACGCTTTCCAAAAGGCCCGGAGACCACACGACCGGCCGCCGAGGGTCCGCAAGCCGCCCTACCATCGGGCCAACGTGCACTGTCCCGAGCGAGTGGTGTACGGCCGCTTCTCGCCTCGGGACACCCTGTGCGGAGACCTCAACAAGGGCTTCATCCCGCTCAACCCCATGAGTCAGAGGCCTCGAGGGGAACCGTACCCGTTGTAAGTGACGTTGGATATCGGATGCGTAGCGACATAGAAACAATGCGGTAATGCGTGCATGTCTTCATTTTTCACTGTTCGTGTGTTCAAACAGTGTGTTCTTGTTTGTCATACGCTCATGCCCGGTTATGCCAATTTTGGTGTGTATGCCAAGTTAAGGAAAGGACCACGAGGGCATCCAGACGCAGACAGACAGACAGACAGACAGACAGACAGACAGACAGACAGACAGACAGACAGACAGACAGACAGACAGACAGACAGACAGATAGATAGATAGATAGATAGATAGATAGATAGATAGATAGATAGATAGATAGATAGATAGATAGATAGATAGATAGATAGATAGATAGATTACCTGGATTGTTTACCCTAGCGGCATGGCCAGCATTATAATACAAGTGAATCTGCGGATAAAAAGAATATGCACACATCATGTGCGACACTTTAAACAGACCCAATACAACGTGCAGATTGAAGGTACGTTGTTGAACTGAGTTTTTCTCGGAAAGGTTTATTCCCTTTTTGTAACAAAGCTGCAGAGGTGGTACTTGTACGCAGTTCAATAACATGTTCAATCTGAACGAATGTATCTTTAGCACGTGATTATAAAATAATATACTGAACATGACCACTGCAGTTCAGTTCTGTGGGGAGTATGAGGGCTGCAATCACTGCTCGATTCTCTATATCCGATAAGCAATATGATCTTGCCAAAGCTGGCTTTTTTGCACGAATGCCCTTTTTGTGGCAAAGCGTGCTTTACAGTAAACGTTTGCATAACGTGATTGGAAGCGCTTTGCCAAAGCTGGCTTTTTTGCAAAAAGATTTTTTATGTGGCAAAGCATGCTTTACAGTTGACATATAGACACATTTCACCAGGCTTAACTTCACGAAAATGCGGTGGCGCTGTCTTGGTAGGCAAAGGTGCTCTGCCTACCGCAGTTTCTGCTGCGTTTTCAATGGTGCATGTGGTGTTCTCAGTCAAGCAACGAGAAAAAAAAATGGTATGCTGATGAGCTGCGTCGCGGTTGGATGTGAGTCGCGTCTCACAACTTAGTTTTGGTTTTTGGCGAACATCGCAGCCCTCAGCGCTTATGGCGGAAGTTACGTGCGGACGTCGCTATAATTTCGCCCATAATGTCGACATCGGCCTACCTGTGTTTACAAACACGGAATGGGTCTATATATAGGTGTGATAACACGCGCTAACCAAAGCTGGCTTTTTTTTTGCACAAAACACACTTTATGCGCCAAAGCTTTCTTTAAGGCAAGCTTTGCCTGTTTAAATTAGTGTAACTGCAATATGACGAAATAATGGATGACGTAAAAAAGTATGCAAGCAGAAACTAGTAGCAGAAAATTTCGACGCGAACGAGTAACAGTATCCGTGTACAATGCCTCCAATCCTTGTCTTGATTCATTTTCCTACTTTTACTTTAATAAATTATGTACCAATTTACGCGACGATGTGCTACGCTGCACATATATACTCCGTGTTGCAGCAGTGCGCTGAATGACAGCGAAAACAATCGACCGCCTTTCAACAAGTTCGAATACTAGAGAGAGAGAGAGAGAGAGAGAGAGAGAGAGCTCTTTAATGAAAACTGAATTCTGCCAGCGTATATATAGGCGCCTACGAGCTACACTGTATGAAGTAAGGAGATGGAGGAGACGGGGATTCCCGCCCAATCATACACTGTGCAGCGCCGACTGCAGTGGTGCGCAAAAAGGCGAGTTGGTTTACATAGTTGAAGCATCCAACGAGCTTTCGTTACCGTTTGTTTGACACGATCGAGTACTGCGACGTTCACTGCATCGCACGAAATTAGTAGAGCTGAGTAGCTGTTTGCATAATTTGTAGACGCATAGTGGACGCGCGCCCTTTGCTTCCTTCACCGCAGTGAAATCATCAAGAAGAAGACACTGGAGTTTCTGGCGGGCACGCTGCCTCTACTTCGCAAGGACCCTAACCTGCCCAAGGTGGCCAGGTTCGCCGGCAGGCCACCGCCAGGCTTCGTGGGCAATCTCTTTGCAGTGCCACCTGGACACGTGTTCGACTACTACCAAAGGTGACTGGTATAAACACTGGTATAAAACTGGTATTAAACAGTGAGGCATGCAAAATATATTCTGCTTTGTCATCACAAGCATAGGCACGGGAAGAAAGCCGAGTTTCCTCACTCCGTTGTTTCTTTAACCTGAGCGGATGCAAAGTCTGCCCCATACTTTTGCTGAGTCGGGCTATGCCGATCACTGTTTCAATAATTTAGCAGGGTTGCGCCATGCAGGTTTCTGACGATATTGGTGGTCGGAGGTTCCCGATCTTTTATTTCAGAAACTGTTTACACCCTTTTTTTTTTGCTCCCCGAAAACCACAGACCAAAGGCAGCATATTGCCAGAAGCACGCCACTCCTACCATTTCAATTTTTTTTTCGTTCATTCATTGTGCAGCATGCATGTTGTCTTTACGACTCGACCAATGGAGAAAGGGGGGAGGGGGTGCTCGGCTTTTCGATCACCCCCCTCCCCCACCATAGTGGGGAAATCTGCGCACGCATATATGTTTATAACGCAAACACAAGATACTTACCTGTCAGTTCAGAACTGCTCCGTCCCCCCCGAGAGCGTTCGCAGCTTTCAAACAACGCATATATGACTTTGGCCGCATGCAAACATGTGCATTTGCATATCTTCAGTAACGACGGAGAATAGGTTGCTCGCAAGTGATTCTCGAATTCTTTTTAACGTAGTTTTCTTATGTTTCATGTAGTTAGCTGCACAAATGTTTGCTCTTGGATGTTTGAAAAGCGTAATATTTACTTTGGCATGCGCAGGCGGCGAGGTCGCAGGTCACTGGCGGCTTTCAACTCCACCCGAAAGACTGAGAATGCGTATCAGTCACTTCAAGAGGTGGAACGCGAATGGCGCGGTCAAAGGTCGAATGATTCGACCGTGCACGATCTGGGGCGCACCTTCAACGCCACGTTCAGGCAACTGTGCCAGCACGGAAGCGGAACGTGAGTACCACGTTATACACAGTATACATCTGTCGGACCGAACTCATGAACGCTTATACTTCGTGGGCCATATTTGACGATTGCCTTCATTAATATCTCCAGCGGCGGAGTTCATTGAAACTTGTTCTTACGAATAATTGAAGTGGAACCTATGGTTTATAGAATACGGGGCAGCATGCCACTGCAGCTAATCTTCAAACAAAAACAGCTCACGGACACGAACAGCTTTCCTTTCTCAACTTCTTAAATTCTGCGGTATGCCACAAGTGAACAGCAAGATAAAGATAGATTTTGCTAGAATACCTGTTATACGTGACAGAGTGCTTGCTTGTGTGATAGTGCAGAAAAACTAGGGAAAAAATGAGCGATGACAGAGACTTCTTTATTTTTATTTCTGTAATATAGACATAGCTTCTCGGGTTCTCTCTGCTTCTATTTTTTTTCAAAAAATAACCCCCCGTTGTTTTAGTGAAAAAAAAATACCTGTAGGTCCTCGTAACAACGTAACTCACGTCTTAATGCACGATTACATGGTTATTTTTACATTCACGTTGCCTAAGCCCTATGGTCCGTTTATACACTCAGAATAGCAGGTTACATCTGGATGTCGATATACTTTCATCTAACTTGCACCAATGCCTCTTTTGTATTATATTTGTGTTACTGCGTTACTTTGAATGAAGGAAAGAAGTGGTAATTCAAGTGCTCGTTCCTGCCTTGTTAGACACAACACCAATGAGAACTAACAGATTGGAAGCTCGCAGGTTCGCTCCATGCCAGTGGCAAGTTATCTTTTCGTTCACTTTTTTTTCTTCACATTTACATTACAATTACATTACAATTACATTTCACTGGTCTATTAGAATGGCTCTGATTGGAACGTCCTGCAGGTGTGCATGTGTGAACTTTTTCAAACATTTTGTTTGTTTTGATATTTATGCTACCTCTCTCTGTGTTCACTTACAGACACCTATTTCGTTGCCCCTGTGCAGGCCAACAAGCCGATTGATTGTTATTACCAGCTTAACCTCCCTGTCTTTTTCCTCGTATTCATTTCTCTATCTCCCTCTCTCTCTTTGCCACAGGCTGTGCACTCTTTACTCGGCCCTGTCGACAGCCAGGGTGTCGACGGCCGTGCTGCAGACGATACTGCAGCTGCTTACTGCGCGTACTCCTGCCATAGCGGACAAGGTGCAGGCGTCCGGCACGTCTTCATCATCTTCTTCTTCGTCGTCCGGTTCCGCCAATTCCGGTTCGTCGTCGTCGTCTTCTGGCGGAAGCGGAACGCAGAGCAACTTGCTCAACATGCTAACGTACGCGGCTGAAATCATCAACGCCATAAGTCCGGACGCCGCCGGCACGACCCCTGCTCCGCCCATAGTTAACAGGTATGACGACTCGGATTCGTTAAAATGGTTGTATTTGAATTTTGTTTAGACAGCCGTCATGTGGGATGAAGCGGCTAAAGGCAGATGCGACTCCCTGACAAAGGCTCCCCTACCCATACATTGCCCAGTGGTGGGAAACCGCGTAAGCAGTGCAACAATACAGAAACGAAAACAGAATGTTCAAATGTGTGCAACAGACAGTCAAATGTACAAAATGTAAGATATATATCTTATACTATAGTGATGAGCAACAGAGACATATTTATACAAGCAATAATGCTGATAAATCTGACGATAACAGTTACAACAAATAGAAAAAGAATTAAAGAAAACATATTGTTCATTCTTATGGTTTGCATGCTCGGAGACACGCTACAAAAGTCACCATCTTTCCCAAGGTAAGGGGTCCTAGTGGTACGGATAGATGGGTGAACTTTATTTGGTCCTTCGGAACGTGCTTTAGCACGTTGCGGGCCGCTCCCACGTCGGAACAGAAAGACTAAGTCTCTCTGCTGCGTCGTGGGCCCGATGGACTGCCCATAGATGTTGTCCAAGTCCGGAGCTTGCACCCTCCCATTTAGTCGGCGTGCTGACTTCCCCACCGCGTAACGCGGGGCACCGCCAGAGCATGTTCCACGGTAGCTATATCGTGGCAGTAGAAACATGTATTGGTTGGCTGTATTTCGGGATAAATTTTTGTTCAATAGCGCGGTATTAGGGTACGCCCCGACCTGAAGAAGCCTGAGTGTCAGAGCCTGAGTGTCAGAGCCTGAGTGTCAGGGCCTGAGTGTCAGGGCCTGAGTGTCAGGGCCTGAGGGTCCTAGTTTTTTTAGTCCTTGTGTAGAAAATTGCTCAGCGTATCAGCTGGCCACTCGGTGTTCGCAGGTCGCCGTTGACGCAAGTGCTCTCTGCTCTCACCGGAGCCACGGGCACGGTCGCGTCGGCCACCAGTCCCCTGGTGACCGTTCTCGACCTGATGACCAGCGAGAGCTCGCCCATAAAGCTGCTGGCTAACGTGTACAGTAGCACGCGCAAGAAGTCCAAGCCTAGCGACTCGGCGCAGCAGTCCAGCCTGGAGAACGACGTTGAGGGCCTGCCGCCCACGCCGTGTCCGTCGCTCGAGGAATACGTCACGCCCACGTTCGCGCGCAACTACCAGGGCGTGTGGAAGTACGTGGTGCAGATACCGCACGAAGGGTACCTCACCCAGACCGTGCAGCAGACGAAGTGCATGTGAGTGAACTCATTTGATCTCCCTCGCATTTAACGTTTCACGAGGTCACGTGGCGCCGCCGCGGGGGTCTAGTGGCTAAGGTACTCGGCTGCTGACCCGCAGGTCGCGGGATCGAATCCCGGCTGCGGTGGCTGCATCTCTGATGGAGGCGAAAATGTTGTAGGCCCGTGTGCTCAGATTTGGCCGCACGTTAAAGAACCCCAGGTGGTCGAAATTTCCGGAGCCCTCCACTACGGCGTCTCTCATAATCATATGGTAGTTTTGGGACGTTAAACCCCACATATCAATCAAATCAATCAATCGCGACGTCACGTGATATGGCGCCCTTAACCACGCCGGCTTCAAAGGCTAGACAGTAGTTTCTCGCTTTCACTAACGTCCCTACAGGCCCCATGTCCTCGTAGCCACTACTTTTATTTCTGAAAACACGTGGAATGTCTGAATGAAGCATTGAGCCTGTCAGGATTCGGTGCTTTTCGACTAGACGCTGCTCTCTCTCCTTGCGCAGTCGCAAACGCAGAAATCGAAGCGAAATCAGTTTATTGCGCACGATCGTCAAGCGAGATAAGGCAGAACGGGCATGCGAATGAATGGCGAAGCACGGTAAGCGACCACTCGCAATAGGTGCCTCTCGTATATCGACCAATCGAAAGCTTATTCCCTCCCAACATCACGTGAACAAACAGCTCGCGCGTGTCGCGAAAACTCGAAACGCCGGCATTTTGATTGATATGTGAGGGTTAACGTCCCAAAACCACCACATGATTATGAGAGACGCCGTAGTGGAGGACTCCTGAAATTTCGACCACATGTGGTTCTTTAACGTGCACCCAAATATGAGCACACGGGCCCACAGCATTTTCTCCTCCATCGAAAATGCAGCCGCCGCAGCCGGTATTCGATCCCGCGACCTGCGGGTCAGCAGCCGAGTACCTTAAAGACCACCGCGGCGGGGCTCGGAGCAGGTTTAGGGGCCCTTTAACGACGGGTCTATACTATCTGTTGCATCTGCAGTTGTACGCAGTATGGCGTACAACTGGCGTACAAGTATTGCGTATTATGAATAAATAGATCGTATTTGATCTATTTATTCGTATCAGTGATTTACTCATAAAGTTGTTGTCAGTCCAGCAGCGTAACTCGAGTACTCTGAAGCGTGACCTGGACTTGTTTGACCAGCCGCGAAGGGCTGGGTGCTGTTGCTGAAATAATTCCCCGGCATGTCTGGATAATATCTCGGCATGTATTGATAATATCTCGGCAATGAAACCCAAAGCGCCGGAGTCAATCAAACTATTTCAGGACAAACTATGGGGCGTTCGAGTTAAGCTTGCTGGCGATTGTACCTTCTGGCAGAGTAATTAAGGGCTTTCGTGCCAGCGCGTTTTGTCAAGCACCAGAAATTTGATCCAGTCATTTAGCGGATTCTCCAGAAGATTTTACGCCATGAGCGATTTTTCTTTAAAACTTTTCTTTTGGTACAATCAATCATTTTGTCATATTTTCTCGTTGTTTCTATTTTTCTTTTCGTATTATGTGTCTAATAAAAACAGGTAGTCCTTGTGCTTAGAGGCTGCTCCAACCGATAGAGAGCAGGCGGTTTATTTCTAGCCTTTTTAAAGTGAGCGATAGGAAAAGGAGGGAAAGGGAACAAGAGAAGGAAATGCAAAGCGTGACGTTGACAGTCCCACCGATAAACTGCAACTTGTTAGACATTCTGTCTGTCAGTCTGTGTTTGTTTGTCTTCTTCGTGCAACCCATACAGCACGTTGGCGTTGTACTATATCGTTTGTGAGCAGGCTTGCTTCCTCGCATTTTTATCGGTTTTCATGTTCGTACAAATTCAAGCCCGAAAATCATTTCAGATGTGGTGATAAACGGGCATGGCCAGCGATTTCGCTTTTCTTAGTTTTCTTCGTGTCGTTTCTTGGCTTCCATAAATAAGTGTTAATATCAACAAATATATCAACAACCAGATGACCACAACAATTACATCAAGTTAGTTTCTTTATTGCCTTTTTTGACACCTTTTACCCACCGGAGTTGAGTAGCTAAATCCTAGCCATATTTTTTCCTTAGCATTATATCTTGTCGCTAACAAATATCTCGACAACCACTGCTGTGCCTGTAAACATACATACCACATATTTTGTCGATCGCGCAGGTCAGGCAGGTGCGACTTCGTCGACGGCGGCCTCTGTCACGAGTCCCCTCGCTGGGTGAGCCTGCTGGTCGCCGAGATCTTCTACCCTAATGCCGTGTTCCCCACGACGTCTCCGCAGAGGCGCCGTGCCCCTCATCCGGCTGCTCCCTTGCAGCCGCAGTCTCTTTACTATCCTCATCCACACCAGATGATTCAGCAGCCTCCGCCGCCTCCTCCCGTGGGCGACTTCCACGCCTTCCAACAGTACCTGCACCGTCGTGTGGGCGCCGATCAGCAGCAACAGCAACAGCAAACGTTGTCGCCAGAGAAACAGCGATCCCAGCAGGAACAGCGACCGCAGCAACAGCAGGGCAAGAGGCGTAGCGACGTCTCGCCGGCGGGTCCCAAGGCTGCGGCCAGGTCCAGGACATCAGCGGCAACGTCTGCGTCCAAGGAAAAGTGCGATGGCTACGATCACGTCGGCTGTTACATCGTGCGCATGTACTACGACTGGTTCCTCGTCAATGGTTCGTGCAAGTGCTGGAAGCCCAGCGCTAAGCACGTCTTCACGGCGGGACGTCGCCGGTGAGAAGGCGCGTACTGCTGCCCTGTGCAAGAACCTGTGCGCAGGTCGCTCGGGGAACATTTCCAGCCGTGAACGTCACTGCCGTGCGTTGACACCGGACGTGACGTAGGACACGTTTTCACCGTTCCTTTCACCGCTTGCGAAGCATGTTACAGCGAGGAACGTTGTTCACCTGTCTGAACGCGTGACTTAGGACTGACGGGGCTGTGTATGCCACGAACAATTGACGACCATCGCTTTCACATCTGAGCATAGCGATGACAACGTGGCATCCTTCGTTGGATATTGCTTGCAACTACACGTCACCATCTTCGCATAAATGCATAGTGTTTGTCTTTTGGAGAACTGGCACGTTCCGAACTGCTGCGTATGTTGCATAGGAGTGATTTGTGCAGGAGTGCTTAGGAATGTTTTAGTTGTTCATCCTCTCTTGCCCATTTAGCGCGCGGGCTTAATAATTGACTTCGGTGTTAGTTTGCAGACAATGGAAACAACTGAACTTATAGCACAGCTTACGTGCTAGAGATTGGCCATGTCAGCGATACGGACCATGGGCTGGTGCAAACGTTGGGACATATGCGGCAACCCAGCATTATCGTGTGTTATTCTGACCAGAAGGTTCATAGTAACCAAAAGAGGACCAAGGATATCAGAAAAAAATCTTAAATTGGCATACTCTACCCACACCAAACGGTGAGGTAATGTTGTAGTGTGATGCGAACACGTCGCCACTCCTTTGTTTTATCCCCACAATTTCTTTTGGAGGGTGTTCCGTGAAGAAGGAAATTATCTTACCTTACAGTCTACGATTGCTTGTACTAAGATGCGATTTGCTTGGTAAGGCTTCTCGGCAATGGACAACCTCATGTGGTGAGCTTGGTGTGGTATGGGGCCTTTTAAATATTACACTCGCAATGGCGTCACCAGAAACCAGACAACAAAAAGAAAACGAGACTGTGGTTTGTCTTATGGTTGGTAAAATGCCAAAGCCGCGAACTTTTCGTGGATGCAAACAGCGTGCTTCAACTTCGCGATTTCTCTTTGCGGGGACAGGTCCTATTTTAGCGTAAACTTTCAAACCACGTCGTGCTTTCTTGTATATTGATGTATTGCGATCGTCACATGCATGAAATCTTGAGTTTGCCCAAGAATTTATGCATATCTGGCGTCATGTGGTTTTATGTTGTGATATCTTACGTCAATATTTATTGCTCGTTCACGCGCAGTGACCACTTGGATGCTCCAATATTACCAGCATTTTGTTTGGTCCATCTAACTCACTGCCAACACGCTCTCCTACTGAGATACGATTACAAAAAGCCAGTTCTCATCACAAACTATGCTGATAAGCGTAAAAAAAATGTGGTTTCAATCGCTTTGGCCGGGACATTCGTTTCTTGCAAGTAACCATTAAGCGTTACGAATCCGCCAATAAGTGCAGTCTCACGTCAATGAACATCATAAATTAAATGAAAAGAAGCATCAATTTGAAGAATCGATAAATTATTTGGCGCTATCTGAGCGCTTGCAACGGAGTAGATCTCGAATGACACTCATTACATGCTTATTTATTTATTTTTGCTGCGTCCTTATACTAGATGCGGTCATCTTGGCAGACGGTCTTCTTCGAACCTAGAAGCATCGTCTCTGCTTCATTTCACCGGCAACTTTGCAGACATACGGGACGATGAAACCTTCTTCTCAGTTCGTAATAAAGCAGTTTGTAGCTTGATTGTCGTCCCAGTGATATTATTCGTCTACTAAGGCCTAAAACCCGAAAGCATCACCAGTCACAAACTTAATACTGGTCGGGGGGAAGGGGCAAAAAAGATGTGGTGCAGAAACAGAAATTTCTTTGGTGTACACGAAATACAAAATATTTATGCGGTGTTTTTTTTAATTTCATAATGGTGGGGAAATCTTGGGAGGAGGAGGAGGAGTAAACGATTCATGTGAATGCTCGATGTTTCTATTATGAAACAAAGTAGCCTTCACTATTCGAACGCTGCTATCCGGATCTAGAAATGAAACGTTGGTAATATGGCTAAAATGTGACTGGCTGTTGTATTTTTTCAGGATTGATTCCGACTTAACCGCCAATCAAGCAGCGTCCTACGCCACCTGAGAAATTTCGTCACAGCAATCATAATTTGTGGGGTTTTACGAGCCAAAATAACGACATGGTTAGGAGGCTCACTGCCGTGTAGGGCTCAGGAAATTTGGGCCGCCTGGTGCTCACGTGCGGTTAAATTTACGCACACGAACCTCCAGCATTTAATCTAAGGTCCATAACAAAGCCAGTAATTTTGTGTAGATGATCATTAAACAACGTAACACGACACCACCTTTCCGATGTTCGTGGTAACGGAGGGGAACGAATCAAACGTTGATGCGAATTGTTCAAGAACATTAAAAATTGGTAACAAAAATGACAGAGACAAGTTCATTCACCTGTACAGCCCATCGTTTTATTAGGCGTTGAAATGGCAGGCAAAGCAGCTGGTTTCATCGCAAGGTAAGACAGTAGGAAATAAATAAATATGACACGTTCTACACATGTACACGTAAATACGGAGCTTACTCAACACATACACATACAAAGGCACAAACACAGAGACACACATACAAACTATGAAACAGAAAGGACAGTAACCGACCAGAACAATTTCTGAGGAGGTTCCAACGCGTGACACAGCACACATACAAAGTCAACGTGAAGTAAAAGAGAATATGTGAGGGTACCTGGAAGTGATCAGAGTGTATCTAAGAAATTAAAAAAAAAGAAGGCGCCAAAGCCAGCGCGTTGTGTCACGCTTGGTTCTCTAGCATTGGAGGTCCGATTATGGCAACTCGAGAATTACGGATGCAGTTAAACGATGAGTGACAAGTTGGCCGTTCATGAGTTACAGGTCGCTTTATAACCGCTCAAAATCACCTTATAACGCGTACAACAACGGGACCTAGATGTCTAACAAACACATATATTCGCCACAGCTCGTAGTAATTGACTATACAACCAGCAGCAATACCTACCAGACTTATACTCGAGCAAACGATATGGTTAACTATCAGAACACAAAGCGGCTTGTTAGTTAACCACGACTAAGCACAATGCAGGTGTGATGTGAATGGTCGGGTATATGCTCGAGAATGCCCCTTGTGGAAAGTGATGATAAATCGATCGACTGACAAACGATAGTTCAAACATCATTCGACGCTTTAAGCGATGCTTCAGAGGTGAAATATGATTCTACACTGGTTAAAAGTGATTGGTTAAAATGAGTACAGAGAAAAAATAAAACTATGGGCAGATGTATATATGTACACAATAACAATAACCCGTCTACAATAACTATAACACACATTTATGAACTTGTTAAAATTGGAATGACTTCACATGTTCATACAAGTTGGTGCGCTTGAGTTCGTACGAGACTCTTTAGCATCGTACAGTAGAGTTGTACATGAGACAAAAAATTAAATACGCGAACAATATAAAAAGCAGTACGATTCACGACCATGCCACATGGTCCGCGAAACAGGCAGTTGTACATATAAACCCTTAACTTACAAGGCCTTAATGTCCAAGACCTTAATCAAAAAGGTGACAGCGTGTAAAAGGCGTGGCTTGCAGCACCGGAAAATGTGACCACCGGTGAAGCTGCGAGCCTGAAATTATTCGAGCTGCCAATTTTGCGGGCCGTGTGACAGGGTTAACAAAACAGAAGGAACCACTCAGTCACATAAAAAGACGTCGAATACACAGTATACAATGAGTGCTTCACACATGATACATTGATAGACATCTGATATCTGTTTAAGATTGCTCGTCAGACCCTTACACTTTGTGGAACAAAGCCTTCGATGGTTTAGTGAAACCGAATTAGGAATCGCACTGCGCATGCCAGGTCACTTTCGGTATGACGGCAGTGTCCGTCATACCGGAAGTGACTATAGACTGGAGCGACAAGGGCGGAGCTTCACAGGTGTGACGTCAACTGCGCAGGGGCTGAGCTACGCGAATCACATGACTATCACATGCTTTGTCTACCCCCCCTCCCCTTTCACGTATAGATTTGATTACTCATTTAGTTTTCCAGAAGTACCTGCATGACCACGAATGATGATGCACGATGTAAAAGAAATGACTCAAATGCCCTGACATCTAACAAAGGCGAACGCATGCGCAGTCATTATCCCGACGCGTGGCTTGAGAAAGAAACGATTCGTGACTTGCGGTGACTCGTGACGTGAGTCACCATTGGGCGTGGACGGTCACCTAGTACGGCTCCCCTAGAATTCCTTTTGTCCCACCTACCCTTTCCGTGAAAGATTCGTCTATAGCCCTGAATCGGGAGGTCGGTTCTCTCCAATTAACACATGCATGCCCGAACGCTATTGATCGTAGTGTTTCCTTCGAACAGCGCGTTTTAGAAGCATGAAACATCTATTGAAAATATCTAGAATTTAAATTATTCACAACAACGAGATCGAAACTTGAGGCTAGAGTGAATATCAGCGCGGAAATTCTGTGTTCGCGCATACTTTCTTTAAAACAGATTTCAAAACAGTGAATTATCCACTTTTTCTACTATCCTTCGTGCGACTAGCTGGTGAAAGCATCTATTTCCTGAACTTTCTCACACGTAGAACAGCTTTAGACGAGAACGTGACGTCACGAACCAGCGTGAAGTCTTACATCCCATGAATTGATCATCGTGGATTCAAAGTTCTGACTCCGTATGTACACACATACAGTTTCTACTTCAACTATTTCTCCCCTCTTCCTCCCTCCACCCTGACTGTGCTAACGCATTTAGCCAATATCAATCCACTCAGTCGTCTGCTACACTTTGCTGCCATCTACTCGGCAGTGTCCGTTACACCGGAAGTGACGACAGAATGGAACAATAAGGGCGGAGCTTCACAGGTGTGACGTCAACTGTGGAGGGGCCAACCCTTGGAGCCAAGTCCAATATCTCGCGATTGCGTCACCGTTGAAGCTGTTTACGTAGCCCGGTAGGCACGACGCCGCCTGCAGACGTAAACGATGGCTCCAATAGCGATGATGACGAGGACCACGATGACAGCGATGATAACGATTCCAGGGATGGACAATACTGTGCTGGGAGCTGCAGAGACAAAACAAAGGAACTGCATGAGAACGCGGCATGCCCCCTTTGTGTGTTTGTAAGAATTAAAGGGACACTAAAGCGAAACAATGAATCGGTTAAGACTTATAAATTTCCTCTGAGAGAGAGAGAACTATTTTAATGAGAAGCTGGAGAGGTTTGCCTGGTTTTTCACCTGCCAGGCTACTCCAGTTGCCGGATGATGACGGTGATATATACAATGATAAACACACAACACATACTCTGAGAACTCTAATGGTGTTAATTGAGAAAATGAGGGTCAAATTTTCATATTAACATTTATCGCCAAAAACTCCCCGCGTGATGACACGGATTTCAAAGCGTGTTTTTCGCATTTTGGTGACGCTGGCACAGTGAACTGTCCTGGAGCATAAAGTTTATGGCCCCTTTAGAGGATAAATTTTACTGAGAATCAACTACGTAGAACCTAGTGAATGCCGTCAAAATCTATGACGTCACGTCGTTTGGTGCGGAAAGGACAAGGTGTCAGGGCACCACCGCTCGCCACTGTATTTGGCGTGTCTTGTCGAGGCAAGCGTAATGTTTTTGAAATTGCAAGAGAGTAAATCGCTATAATACGAGAAAAATCGTTCTTATTTCCTTAGAGTCCCTTTAAAACTTTGCCGACAACCCAGTCATTGACGAAACTTCTGTTGGCTTAGTTCGTACATTGCATCGCAGGTGAAGACTTCAGCGCACACTAAGACGCACCACTGAGAATGGAAAAGACATTCACGGGTGGTGTGCTTGTCTCTTCTATTCTTTGTGGTCAGTCTTGGTTTGAGCTAACGTTTCTTCCTTAAGCTCGGTCATCGGACAGAGATCGAGAGGAGGCCTAAACATTTGCGCGCACGCAATGTCCAATGTCGTACACTCACCGCAGTTGGCCTCGTCCTCGTCGCTGCCGTCACCGCAGTTGTCGATGCGGTCACACCACAGCCGGGGTTCGATGCAGGCACCATTGTCACAGCGACGCCACGATTCGGGACACTCGGCTTCTGAAGCTGTGTACACGGAGAGAAAACAATCAATCAATCAATCAATCAATCAATCAATCAATCAATCAATCAATCAATCAATCGTCAGTCAGTCAGCCAGCCAACCAACCAACCAATAAGTCAATCAATCAATCAACCAACCAACCAACCAACCAATCAATCAATCAAATTTTAATCAATCAATTATTATTTATTCATTACACTATTGAATAATTAACGCAAAAACTAGTGCAGCGTATCGTGTCTTTCTACCAATTGCGAAGTTCGGTGACGTGATAACTGTAAATAAACCTGACTCCCCTAAATACGCTTGACTACATGCTGAGTTGAAAGGAATTTGAAAAATAATAATATAAGGAAAAGAAAGTATAAAGCAAAAAAGCCAACATTTTCTCTCCCTACGTATAACCATTATGGAAATCGCTGCGCATAATTGACACCCTACACCTTTCTCAAGTGTACATGGCAAATTAATGACAAATGGGGGTACATATGGCGTGAAGAAGATTGTAAAAAAAATCGATTACACTATTGCAGCACCCATTTGGGCGTAAATGACATTGTGCGTGATCATTTGCCCTTGAGAGTTCAGATGCTTCGTAAAAATATATGGTATATTTAACGATTGCGCTATGAACTAGTCGTGTTCCGTGGCACGTCGTGAAACCTTACGAGCCTCTCTCTCTCTCTCTCGCTCTCTCTCTCTCTCTCTCTCTCTCTGTCTCTCTCTCTCTCTCTCTTTCTTTCTTTGACCCCTGTAGAAGCTAATAAGGTTGACCTCATCCGAAATGAGTGAAGCAACGCGCTCGTCCCATCTCGTTCGCGTTAAATATATAAATAGACTTGCGTCACATTCATTGCGGCTGGCGAAGCGATTGGGCAGAATCCCGAACGTCGAGATGGATGTGCCAACACACGCACAGCCTCGCTACTTGATCTTCCTATATAGAGACTCAAGCGACTCAAACGCACGAGTGCAAATACTCCCTACGAAGTTGCGACGGGAAACGCCCACGATAATCTTGTCGTCTTATGATTCATTTCGAAGCCACTACACGACGTCCTCGGCATACCGTCTCTTCGACGCGCTCGCTCCTTGCAAACGTTGCGCAAAAACTTTCGTGCGTAAGCATGGAAGCACGCGTGGTTACGTATACGCAGTGGCAGGTAGTACATGGACGTTGCAGTTGTGTGCCGTCTACGTGCCAAGCAGTTAACGTCACACGCACAGCGGGGAAGCCTTAAGTTTACCGGTAATAATGCACACACACACACAGACACACACACACACACACACACACACACACACACACACACACACACACACACACACACACACACACACACACACACACACACACACACACACGCACGCACACACACACACACACACACACACACACACACACACACACACACACACACACACACACACGCACGCACGCACGCACGCATACCTATAGAAATGGAAGCGACGACTCGACTTATAAGCTGCTTGCGAAGCCTTCGGACGAGCCTCGGCACAGCGCCAGACGCTTTGTGTATATACGGGATGTGACGAATGTGTTACTTTGAAATGTCTGCATGGATGAGGACGCTGTGATGTGAGCGACATCGCGGGAGCTGCTTTTGCAAGATCGAAAACGTGCCATTCGCTGCTGTATACTGCGCACACTAAGCACGCGTCAAGTGAAAGAGATGAATATTCTACGACTGGCAGAGACAGCACCTGTATGGACTTGCTGTTGCGTGTCACGCTTGCTGGCTTCATTGAAGTAGTAGTAATAGTTGTAGTACTAGTAAGCTGGAGACTAGCAGAAGTGACAGTAGCACTACCCACTTTACCTCTACGATATCATTTCATTGTCGTTTCCATACCTGGGGACGTAGCGCAGCGTCTATTTCACTGTTATTAATCGCTTCTTTGGTTACTACATTGCACGAGCGGGGTTAAAATGTATCACTGAATCAACTCAAGATCTTTTTTCGTTATTACTGAATAGAACTGGTGCAACCTGCCTTGGGGTAGGTGTAAACGTTGGCGTGTTTGATCTGTGTTTTTAGCCAGTTGAACGCAGCCTCTTCCTCGTGCTTCCACGGCAACGGAAGCTAGCTTGTGACCCTAATAGCAACAAAGAGAAGTTTATTGACTTCCAACCAAGGATAAAGTACATGACAAAAACATCGAGCTTCACGACTACAAAGGACGGACTCGAACTAACTACGATCTCACGGAACGTATATAGAAACGCCATGCAGCCACTGAGTCACCCCGACAGGTAATATTACCGCGCATGTCGATGACGTGCATTCTACATTCCCGCTGCAGTGACGTCACACATGTTCGCGTGGTTTCTCCGGTTTGCTGTCGGCGGGTACGTGACAAAAAAAAAAAAAAAGTGCCCAGCCATCGTATCCACGCGCTGTAACTCTGCTTGCCTTCTCATTTTTGCGAGGTCATGCCTGTCGAAGCCGGAGCGTATTGCGAACGTTTTTGCACGTTTTTCGTACTTTTTTTACCCCTAGAGATATATGCCGTTTTTTGGCGTGTTTACACGTAGGGCGTGATGCCGCGTGGCCTCGAGCAGAGAGCCTCGTGTCACGCCTACGCGTGCATTTCGAGGCGCTGGCACGGCACTTCATGCTGCCAGGCCGTACGAGGGCGCCACGAGGGTTCACCGAAGACGCTGTCTTTTGTGGGTGTTTGACGTACTCTCACCCTATAATGACTCGACGTTTTTACCTTTCAAAAGTTCGACTTCAGTCACTCACGACCTAAGAGTAAACGATCTCCACCCACGGCCGTTGCTGTCTCACTCAGACGGAATTTGCGAAGACGTTCCGGCGGGCGTTCAGATGCAGTTGCTTGTTTAACGTCAGGTACCACACGCGTGTTTCAGGTAGATTAACTTCCCGTACAAGCACGTGTTCGTTGCACGAGTTTTCGGTTTAATTCCCGCCTTTTAATTCCTGGTGAACTCAAAACAAAGCTTTCAGCTTGACTACTCAGCCAAATCTAACATTTTAACAAGGCACTCCAAACTTTTTGTTCAAAATATACGCGATATTTAGTGAATCAGTGAAAAAGTCCTTATGGTCTGAACGGAAATTACTAATCACGGCTTTATTGCACGTATGAATGACTAGATCTATCCTATCTATCTAATCTATCTATCTATCTATCTATCTATCTATCTATCTATCTATCTATCTATCTATCTATCTATCTATCTATCTATCTATCTATCTATCTATCTATCTATCTATCTATCTATCTATCTATCTATCTATCTATCTATCTATCTATCTATCTATCTATCTATCTATCTATCTATCTATCTATCTATCTATCTATCTATCTATCTATCTATCTATCTATCTATCTATCTATCTATCTATCTATCTATCTATCTATCTATCTATCTATCTATCTATCTATCTATCTATCTATACTCACATCGGTTGACGTAGGAGGCGATGACGACGTTGAAGGAGGCCTGGCGGTCAGCGTCCTTGCTGGGCTCGGATGACCACCAGATGGTGAAGCGGTCTCCCTTGGTGGGAATTGCACTGGTCTTGGGAAAAGTGTCGCCGCAAAGACGCTTGCCGTTCAGCTCGTCCTCAGCAAGGCCGTCGAACTGTGATATAAGGTTAAGATGGAAGAAAGGTTGTAGCACGAGTGCGAGTTTATGGTCTGCACGGCTGCGTTATGATAACGACATTAACGCGCGCATGCTTGGTATGTCAAGCGAAGTTAGCGGTGAGAGATGACATCCAGTGTTTTAAAATACTCATCACAGGCTGACTCTTCGGTCGCTAGGATGGCTGGCTGACTAAGACATTCACACTTTGAGACTAACAAACTGTAATTGGCTCACTTGCTGTGAATACGGCTGCGAATATGGTCACTAGTTGTGACAGAGTGAGTGGCTGACTGACTTGATTGATTTGTGGGGTTTAACGTCCCAAAACCACCATATGATTATGAAAGACGCCGTAGTGGAGGGCTCCGGAAATTTCCACCACCTGGGGGTTCTTTAACGTGCGCCCAAATCTAAGCACATGGACCTACAACATTTCCGCCTCCATCAGAGATGCAGCCACCACAGCCGGGAATCGAACCCGCGACCTGCGGGTCAGCAGCCGAGTACCTTGGCCACTAGACCACCGCGGCGGGGCTGGCTGACTGACTAGGCTGGCTATTAAGCTAAATATATTAATTTAGCATATCAGAAATGAAATCTAACCTTGACCTACCCAATTTAACTGTCCGGAGGAAACTGGCGCGACTGCATTTTTTTCATAAGATATTTTTTCACAATCCATCAATGAAGCGAGACCTCATTTCACAACCGTCATACCACTCATCGCGCATTGATCATCAGCATAAGGTTGCCATTCCGTTTTGCCGCACCAAATTCTTTTCAGCAGCCTTCTTACGAAAACAGCCGCCGATTGGAACCACTTTCCCTCTTCCGTTGTATCAATAACAGACCCTTTGTTATTCAAGACTGCAATTTCTCAGCAATGCTTGTAACTATACGCAGTTTCCATTATCTATCTTTGTCTTGTATGTGCTTGAATTCTTATACATTTTTAGTTGACTTATGTTGCCTTCCTGATTTGCGCATCTGATACTTGTTTCTTTATTTTGTCTTTTTTCTTGTGTGTTATATATGTTGTACCCACCCCCTCTGTAATGCCCTACGGGCCCTGAGGGTATTCTAATAAATAAATAAATAAATTGGCTGACTGAATGGCTGACTGACTGATCAGACTAAACAAGATTAGTGACTAGACTTCATGACTATAGAATGACCGACCGACCGACCGACCGACTCACTGACTAACTGACTACGTCCAGCAATAGGTACACAGTAATCAAGTTTGAGCGTTTGTTGCATCCTCGATTATACCCATAGCCACGATTGCGACATGTTTGCATTATAGCACGCGTGTCGTAGTGCTCACCCAGATGAAGTTGACGCAGGAGTTCGTGGGCCCTCGTGGGATGTCGATGGAGACCGGCGTGACGAGGAATCCGTACGTCTCGTTCAACGTGCTGAAACTGAGTCCGGCCCGGCATCCGCGCTCGTCCAGCTTCTCCTGCAGCGGAGACTTGAGCCGGAAAGAGATGGACTGTGCCTCGGTGCGAGCCCGGTACCGGTCAGCCGATCTCGACGACGAGCAGTGGTCCTCCAGGTAGTCTGCGCGGAAACGAAACGCCGTTTATTGAGGAGTTGAACCGGGCTCAGATGACGTTAATCATCAGCATCATCATCATCATCATCATCATCATCATCATCGTCGTCGTCGTCATCGTCGTCGTCGTTGTCGTCATCATCATCAGCCTGACTACGTCCACTGCAGAACAAAGGCCTCTCCCACGTTCCGCCAGTTAACCCGGTCCTGTTAGACGACGTTAGTTAGATTTAATTATTGGGTCAGGTTAGATCATAGACAACCGCAGTGTTCTCCATCGGGGGCGGGGCAAGTTTTGGGTGTCAGCGTTAAAACGGGACGGAAACGAGTCGCTCTCTGCAGCTTGCTGCAGTTCGTCCCATTGCAGTCGCAAATTTTGCGTTGTCTCACATTATTTGTCTCCATTAACTCCCACATATCCGTGTGTTTGCTATCTATGTATCCTTTATCGTTAAGTGACTTCTAGGAATCGATTAGTATACGTGTACTTTCGCGAGTTGACGTTCGTTTGATGACATCTTGGCGGGTCGAAAATGTCCATTCCTCCTCAGTTGGTATCATTGCGGAACTATTGATTGCACCAATTTCGGGTGGCTGGCGTGTTCGTGTTAGAAGTTTAGTTTGTACGTCCCCTCACCCGGCGAACTGTGTTGTTTGTTATACTTTGAGTACTCCAGAACCCCGCAGCCCCTTTCAAGATTTTTTCCGACGACGTTCCGTTGATCCGCTCACGGAGAAACCCCTTTGGTTATTTTAAAGTAAAGAAACATGCAAAGGACCCTTTGCTCAATAATAATTATTGCTACATTAGTACGCGCCAAAACTACAATATGATAACGAGGACGCTGTAGTGGAGGGATTTGGAAATTTCGACCACCTGGTGTTATTTAACGTGCATCCAAATCTATGTACACGGGCCTATAGCATTTCACTCTCCATCGAAAACGTGGCCACCACCGCCCATGTTCAATCCCGCGAGCTGCAGTTTGTGATTCATATCAATTCTGAGAACATCCGTCTTGCTGCTCTCCTTATCTCATTCTAAATGTCCTGTTTGATTTTAAGTTATCGGGAATGTTGCCCTTTATTAGTGTTACTTGCTTTTATCGCACGTCTATCACGGATGTTGATCGAAATAACCGGAAGTGCGTCCACGCGACGCTTCGAAAGTTTCGATGGACTTATATCACCCGCCTCTCGTTGTTATCGGCAGTGTGCGCCGACGCCACTGTGGCCAGCACTAAGCCGTACAAAAAGCACATTGAAAGGCGCGCTTTCTTATCTCGATGTGCTTATCTTGCGAAGCAGTGAAGCTTCGAATTGTACAACAAAATGGCACATGCTGACATCACGTGAATACCCCGCATAGTTTCATCTAACGCAATCGACCAGAGAATTCGACGCACAGCGTTTCATGATACATGGCAAATCTAAAGGGTGATGTTAATGTCAGTTCTGCCCAACAATATCAGTGCCCCACGCTGTTCGATGTTATGAAGAGTGTTTTGAAAATTTATAAAAGAATATTTGGGTAAAGCCATGTCGCTAACAAAAGGAACGAATGTATTCCGTTTATCACACGAGGGCGATATAACACGTTCGCGAAGCGGCAGGCGTCATAGACGGTTATGGGCAGACGACGTAAATTATCTGGTTATACCGAGAAAAATTTTCTTGCAAGTGATATTTATTCTTGAATTTTCTATACCGACATAAGGCTGTAGTTGGCAGTGTGACTTGGGACAAACGACGGAAATCAAGTGATTGGGAGTGATATTTTGGTAGCGAAGAGGATTTGAGAATTTTTCTAGTTCGAAGACGGGAGAACATAAGATGTCGTCAAGGGTTTGACAAAAATTGTCTGGTCAGGAATTGGATAAGATGAAACAGGGTCAGTGCCAAAGCGAGATGAAGTTATTTGACGTTTCGGAAATGCGTACGGGTTTCTTCGCTGATGTGGACTATCTGTGAACACAGGGAGGTGTACCACTCATCTAACAAGGAACCCTATGTGCGGTTCCAAAACGACAGATAATTTCGTCAGACTTGGGCAGGGATTGTGTTTCATCTCAGACATGTGTTTAGAATAATGGCTGGCGATTCAGATCACCGCGTAATTCACCATTAGAAGGTGCCCCTGAAAACTTAATGTTAGAACCGAAAGCGGATGACACAAACGCATCTAAAACTACGTCACACCATTTTTTGTTAGCCCATGAACGTTACCCAATTAATTTCTTATTACGAAGCTTGGCGGCACTTTTGTAGCGATTGAATTAAAAAGTAGCTATAACTAAATAAATATCGTATAATCTGCACTACATGATTTTTAAACAAGACCACCACTGCTGTTTCAATTTTTGTCATTACACCAGTGAAAGAAATGAGAAGCAACTCACAGTCAGTGTAAGCCGTGATCTCTGCTGCCACCGTAGTCGTAAGGATGACGCTGGCCAGAAGCAGCACAAGTCCGAAAAAGTGGGAACACACGCAGGTCTTCATGGTGCCACACGAATTCTACACACAACCTCAGAGGGACGATAGAAGACCACGCTGGCCAGCTGTCCGGAACAAGCGTACAAGCGAACTCCTCAGGTGAGCGGGCCGAGAGACTCTGAACGATCAGTCGCCACTCGGGGTACTTTAAATAAAGGTCGCACCGAACGAGGGTGAATCGACGTTGAAAAAGGGGGGGATGGGAAAAGTATGAGTAAACGGCGTGTGTAAGAGTCGCGTCTACTCGGAAAGAATGCAGGAAAGAGGTCGGCGTAGTGAATGAGCGGGACAAGTCGAGAAGATGAGACACGCGAATCGCTATCGCCTGAGGACCCAAAATTAGCAATTATCGTCGGCAGCGCGTACGCGATCGTCGTCTGCTACGCGAAACAGGTGAGAGAGAAATTCGTCTGCTCGCAAAGAGGACGTTAGCAGAAGGCGAGTGCGTCTGGTGGCGAGGAGGTGTGTGGAAATGGCGCATCCTCTAATGTCGCAAGGTATAGGAAAAATAAAAGAAATAGAAGAAGGAAAGGCTTCGACGTGTTAGCGTGGGCGTTCGTTGCCACGCGCATATAATGTGAGGGGGACACACCTTGAGTCACTACCGAGCGCGACTCTCTCCGCAAAAGTGGCAGGATATGGGATAGTCGGCGTGAAAACCCTCACCCGGCGTTGTCCTTCGCGGCGGCAGCTGGTTCTCTCGCCGCCGCGTAAGCTTCGGAGATCGCCGAAGTGCGATTACACACGTTGTCGAGTCAAGCGTTGCACCGAGGCCGGACGCTGGGGCGGAAAGTAACTGGCTTCCGAAAAAGCAGATAACGGACATGTCTGCTAGCGAGGTTTGTGCGCGCTAGCAGACGACATTTCGTGCCGTCGTACATGTGTGTAAAACGAAGATTTTTTTTTTTTTCACTTGCTTCAGAAAAGCCCAGCGTTTGTGCAGTACATCGCAATGCGAAATCCTGCTTCAGGAGGCTGCAGTATCTGTTTTTGATGTGGTGAATATGTTTGTAAATGTCTTCCGCAAGCAGCCATGAAATATATTTGGGAGTGTGCAAATATTGCAATATTTGAAATATGACTCGAAAAGTCACTGTTACTTGGTTTGTATTCTACGCCTTGAATTTTTTCATCCAAAACTATCGAATGGTTGTTCACGAGGCTTTCAAATGAACATGCCTAAGTACCTCTTATTACTTACGACTTACTACTACTTGGACAGTTCCTACACCTTTGCGGTCAAGCTTTATTGTATAGCCAGATTCACCATCGTTGCATTTATTTGGTAACAATGCGGTGCAGTAATATTACACCTTCCTTTTTTGAAGCACAATAATGGTGACGTTAAAGAGGGATGCACAACTACCACGATACGCATAGCAGTGTGTTTATAACATAATAATAATAATAATAATAATAATAATAATAATATAATAATAATAATAATAATAATAATAATAATATAATAATAATAATAATAATAATAATAATAATAATAATAATAATAATAATAATAATAATAATAATAATAAGTTCCAAAATATCCGTAAGAATTGCTAATAAACGCAACCACCACGCGCAGTTTTCTCGTATACTTCACTCTGGGTCATGTCTGCTATTCGCAATAATCTCAAAACAGTTTTCTGCGTCGCATTTTGTGTTAAGTCTGTGATGTTTAATCTGCTAGTCTGTGATGTTTAATTTCAGGGTATACTGTATGTTACAAAAAAAGATGAACAAAAATGTCATTCGAACATTTCGGCATGGGATTTGAGCTACGCCTGTACAAGCTACGCCTGTACAAACAACGTCGCTGGTAGTGAGAGGAGTTTAAAGTAAGTTAATATCTTCGGTAAATAACTGCGTATACGAGGTATTACACGGGCGAGATCTTTAGCATTGCAGTGTGACGCACATCGGTCATGGTGTGCCCAATGGCATTTTACAGCAATTTGTCTTCATTACCGCAATCAGCTTGCCTCTTCATAACAACACAAGCCTTCTCGGCCGAAGTTAGCATTCGCTACTTCGCGTAGAGGAGCATAGTAGACTACGGAGTCGGGTCTGTGGGTATATCGACGAAAATAAATAACATTTCGTATCATAATTCCCGTAAAAGGAGCAATACAGTAATTCTCTGCCGCGTCATCAATTCGGGATGTAGAGTTAGCGTTCTCCGTGCCGAACATTTTGTTGACTGATTCGGGGGAGGCCCTCATCCTCCTTCCTTCCCCCGAAATGATCGGATATGAGTACCCCTCCCCCAGAAATATTAATTTTTGCACGGAATCTTCTGTATGCCCCGCACACACCGATTCACACGCACGAAATCACACAAGGGGTCATTGGACCTCATTCCCCACACATCCCGGAAAAAGGTTTCTGGCTACGCCGCCCTCTCTTTCCCCGGGTAGAGAGTTGTAGTTCCGGAAGCCCGAAACAGCTTGCGCAGCCTATAGCTCTTGCGTTCTCTTGTACTCTCCTTGGGGGCAGCACTGTGAGGAAAGCGGGGAGAGAACAAAAGAACGCGCGGAACCAACGGTATCAAGGGTACTGGGTAGTCAGGCCCGAGATACATTGACTACAAAAAAAAAAAAGATGGATTGATTTGTGGGGTTTAACGTCCCCAAACCACCATATGATTATGAGAGACGCCATAGTGGAGGGCTCCGCAAATTTCGACCACCTGTGGTTCTTGAACTTGCACCCATATCTGAGCACACGGGCCTACAGCATTTTCGCCTCCATCAAAAATGTAGCCACCGCAGCCTACCAAAAAAAAAAAAATCTATTAAAAGTAACATGACTCAACAGATTTAGCCTAAATGTACTAGATGTTGGGCGCCTAAAAATACAATTCTCTTCTAGAAAAGGCTTCAAATACGTTCTAAAGTTGGTGAAGTTTTGGAAGGTCCTGTGCGTTCACTTTGTCAAGGTGACTGCCGCAGGTTGTCAAATGTATTTGTATTCTCAAGTTACCATGCCTTCAGCAGTTATGCTTGGAGACGAGGCTTTCCTCCGGTGCTGGTCTACGCAATTCATTATTGTGAAAAACAACAGAGTGTCCATGCTTTTCCTCCCCTATTGAGGAGGTGGGCTAGAGCTTGTACCACTGTGAAATCGCAGTGTGCATTTTTCTTTTCTTCATTAGAAACGTGTGTTTTTAGTGCAATATTGTTCTTGAGCACGAGAGCAAACTGTCCTCACAGGTGAATGCAAAAACATCACCCTACACTGTGAATGACCCCCCTTTGTTTGTTCATATAGCCTTACTGTTTATTTAGGTTTAATCATCTCGATGTCCACGAATGTCCTGTCTTTGTTGTACAATTTTTTGCATTGTACATCATTGCTTACGAAAGTAAGTTCTTTTCGCTGTATATAACGGCCTTCATTGTACATACGCATTGATCACCACAGTCCATTTTTCTGTGTGCACATAAGCTATGTAAGATATATCCGGAAATAAAATTCTCTTGAACCAGGTTCGGCACACTTTTAACAGCCTAGTGTCCTCCCGTAGTAGAGTACATTGTACTCTAAGTCGTCGAACATTTCTTCTGATTATATTGCTTCGTAATGAATCGTGTCGTTAATAGGTATGACTTAATGCTCTCCTATAATAGAGTACGAAGTACTCTAAACCGTTAAACTATAATTCTAAGCACACATGTGAGCTCCTCTCTCCAGGCCTCTGAGATTTTGCCACTCTCCATAGTAGAGTTCACATAGTACTCTAAATCGTCGAATATTGTTTCGTAACGTGAGTCTTTTTGTTTCGTAACGTTGAATCTTTTTGCTGCGCAGCTCCAGCAGTGAGTGTCTGATATGTGATCCTGCTTTTTATTTCTATCACTGTAGCAATTCCCCACTCGTGACCAACTTGAATATAGCGCTGATTTCATTATATGCCCTTATGACTGTTCATTGCAAACCATTGTCTTTTTGTGTACATACCTCACCTGTTTTATATTTACTTGTTTGCCGATTTGTTAATTTAGCAAATGTGTATCCACCCTGCTAAAACCCTATGTTAGGGTTGCAGTATTCATAAATAAAAATAAATAAATAATAAATAAACGTGTAGATGTAACCATAATGTTGTATCGAATTGTTATGGCTGAACACTGTCTGTGAGAATACTTTTTTTTAACACAAGAAAACGCTCTTTTTCAATATACCACAACTAGGACGTCCTTTCTGCTCTCCCATAGCAGAGTATACTGCTCTAAATCATTAAAAACTTTTTCCGAACACACAAACCATGTTTACTCTTTAATGTGGCGTTGTAGGGACAAATTACCGCTATCCCACTGTGGAGTACGTCGCACCCTAAGTTATCACTCATGTATCTAAACAGGCGTGGTGCTGAAGTATGAATAACTTAAGGGGTCCGGGCTGATCGGTGTCTAATGTATCATATCACTTGTCACACTGGCAAAACCACGTTCAAAACTGTGGGAAGTGGAAAGGAGGGTGAGGAGGAGACATGCGAGCGGGAGGCAGACGGGAAGGGGGAGGGTAAGACATAGCATAGCCGTGTGAATCGCACTTCACACCAAACTGTTCCACAAGGAAGGCGGTGAACACAGCTTAAAGACCGCACGTTTCGGTTTCCTTTGTAAGCCGGCCGTACCGAGTGTTTGGGCGGTAATAGAGCGCACGATGATGGTCATTTTCTCTCCACGACACGCGGCAGAACTAGACTCCAAAGGCTGTTCTGTAAAGAACATTCTTGACTTTTACTGAACTACAGAAAAAACACCTATGCACGCTGTATTTGCTGTATACTGTGCTCGCAAGCTGTTTATCTCCTTTTTGCCGACGCGTTATTTCTTTATATGCTCCATCTACTTATTCATATGCAAGATTGACACGCAGTCGGACCGTCCGTATACAGCTAACCTCTCTAACATCGGCTTTGTCTTCGCCCCCTCAGCGATGTTCAAAATTTCTCCAATGGCGGTTATCTTCGTTTGTTGAAGTCAAACATTGAGAACGCGCATAAATTCTGTTCTTTGCCGTTAGTACTTTATACAGTGGTACCTGGACGCTATGGTGTATCGTAGCATAACTTAATTACTAGATTCGTTGGCGTTGAATCGCGCCATGTTCAAAAAAATGCCGCCATATCCACGAAGTGAATGATGATGAGTGGGCGAAGCTCCGGAGGTAAACCTGGTAAACCATGAATCCTCCGTACATTTTGCCCACTCGATTTTATTGCAACGCTCCCCCTAGCGTACGTCGCCGCACTATATCAAACGACGACACGCGCCATATGTGGCATCATTCCTATTTTATAACACCTCGCATCTATCATAATCCACTACACGTACCGCCGTCTAGTTTATAACATCTTGCATCTTTTGGACGGACGGACGGACGGACGGACGGACGGACGGAC